GGTAAAGGATTGCGGCAAAGCGCCATGCTTCAGCTGTCACATCCGTCATAGATGCATTCGTGTCGATCTGATAACCCTCTGATTGAGATCGTACCCATTCAATCACAGGCCCGCACCTTGCAGCCTCCCTACCCTCCGACTCAGAGCTCCATTGCCTCATTTCGAGCAGCTCTCTGTACAGATAATGTGCCGTCATTGGTACGATGGGCCTCTCTGGCTCCTGTTGCAGCCGTGCTGCGCAATACGTTATCTGGCTGAGGACGTGAAGAAATTTCTTGGAAAATCCACAGCCAGCATGAATTTTGTACATCTCTTTATCCGTACCATGGAGCAGCCAATCGAATCGAGAAGCCTCTTGCCGGGCATTGAACCTGTGTGGAGGGGCCAATGGAGACATGGGTTGGGCCAAGATGACTGCTCGGCCAACAATGATGGACTGCGAGATTCGCAACGACGATGATTGCATGTTTGACAACTTCCAAAATCTCGACCCATGATCGGTTGCCTGAAGGAACTTCTCTCCTTGGCGGAAGCCTTGAAGCCAACGAGGAGAAGATGGATTCTTCAGGCGGCGTTCTGTCAAGATAATCTATCGCAAAGTCAGAAAGCAGCTTTGAGACAGAGGATGCAGGGTCATGCATAGACTAAGCAAGCGAATCCACACGGTTCCAACATACATCCTGCATAGAGAGTATGGCGAACAGGGGAGCAGCCGATCGAATCAAGTAGCCTCTTGCTGGGCATTGAACCTGTGTGGAGGGGATATGGAGACATGGGTTGGGCCAAGATGACTGCTCGGCCAACAATGATGGACTGCGAGATTCGCAACGACGATGATTGCATGTTTGACAACTTCCAAAATCTCGACCCATGATCGGTTGCCTGAAGGAACTTCTCTCCTTGGCGGAAGCCTTGAAGCCAACGAGGAGAAGATGGATTCTTCAGGCGGCGTTCTGTCAAGATAATCTATCGCAAAGTCAGAAAGCAGCTTTGAGACAGAGGATGCAGGGTCATGCATAGACTAAGCAAGCGAATCCACACGGTTCCAACATACATCCTGCATAGAGAGTATGGCGACGATGGTAATGAATTCATTGGCTTGCGCTTCATTCTGGGCGGTGGTTGAGTCGTTGAGCAGCTGAGAAAGTCGCTGCTCGGCTTCTGAGAACCGCTGATTGACTCTGTCGCGAATGGAATCTAGGGGCAAATAGTCGTAGATATAAATACCAGCTAGACTCTGGATGGCCGATCGGACGCCAGGGCTTTTGTGCATGGGGGCGAAATCCTTTAGCCACGGGTTTGTGTCTTCCAACACACTGCGACCGGGACACCAATTCCGAATATCTAATGATTAGACCGAACATTAAATTCTGCACACCGATACCAGTTCGTTTCGATTTACATACAAAACATCTGAAAGCGTCTGTCAGTATCGTCCATTTTGGCCTCATACCCATAATGGGAAGGCAACAACTTCGGAGCCCCCATAGAAGCAGCTCCAGCGGCAGCATTCGAGGGAACAGGGAACGACGTAACCTCGACTGTTGTGCGAGGCATGGAATTTAGGACTGGGATTCGAGTGAAAATGCCTGATGCGTCAGGTGTGAATTCTATCGAGCCTCCGCTTATCGGGGCCGCTGGGGACGTGTCAATTAGATTCATTGCAGTTGGTGGCGTAAACTCATCACTTGCGTCTGTAGATTCATCGATTTCAATTGCTCTAGTAGTGTCCGATAATGAATGTGTACGCCCTACAGAGCATTGCTTTCCGCGCTTGCCTTTTGGCCAAGAGAACTTGATATATCCGTTCACTTTGCCACCAGTCGGGCGGCTAAAGACCCGTGGCTTGTATAATCTAAATGTGTCGATACAGTCTCGAAAAGGGGTATTGCGACTAGTATTGCCGGTGGCCTTGCTAGTTCGACGAAGTTGGTAGTCGGCACCAGTGCTTATGAAGGCTGATAAGCCATCATGGGCAGCCAGAGGTTGTGGTACAGACGGCGCAGAAGCTGTCTCGAACAGCGACGGACGGAAAGCACAGAGGGGACCGGAAGGCCTCGGAGGGTTGAAGTCAAGCTGTGTCGTCGTAGGTACGGCTGCAGTAGTATGTTAGATCATGGGTGAGCCAATGAAGCATGTCGCTGCCACTCGAGCAGTTGATTTTGGGTCAAAGTGATGGTCAGCGGAATATCCAGAAGCAGGGCATAAATCGCCTCATTAGAATGAGAAAGTTGGAAAGTTTCCTTCCCGGGATAACGTGCGGTGAATGGCCACAATAGGTTGATGACTTACGACCAAGCTCTGGTCAATCACAGAGTACGTGGTGAAAAGAAACACATCCGACACTTGCCGGGGACGTAACAGAATATCCAAGGCTAAAATCGGGACAATGTAGCGAGGGTCGGGCGAGGTCACAAGAGACGGCACCAACCTTGTCCACAACTTGGAGGTAATAAGGCATGAGCTTGTTCGCGGCAGACAAGGACAGGGGTAGCCACGTGGATGCACCCAAGAGTTTTGGCCGACCTTGTGTGTGTGTGTGCCTTATCTCAGGGCCTTGTTCAGTGCTTGACACCAAGTTATGCGCGATGCGATAAAGATGAAATGCTTCATGTATGGAAAGGTGGTCGATTCTTGGCCCATGTAAGTTTCATGCAAGCGAGAAATGGTAGTTCTTATCTGAAATGGAGAATGGTATCGTCCCTGATCTTGGAGGCCCAGGTGATGGCCCGGAGAAGAAATCGCTGATTTCGAAGCTGTGTCCCAAAGTGCCGAGATGTAGAGGAGATGACGGAGGTGTAAAATTTGAAGCGGATGGAAACCCCCATGATGGGTCGAATACGGAGTCTTTTGGACAAGGGTTAGTCCTAAGCTTGCCGTCTGGCGAATCCAACCCTGCCATATCTGGGCCTTTGAAGTATGCAGAACCAGCACGCCCCAGCTCTTGTCGACAAATCGTTGGGACCCTTGATGGGATACAACGTATTGTTCCTGTTGCTGCTGGCAAGGACAATAGTGGGATCACTATTGAAGTTGTCGTCGTGGAGAAGCTTCGGCGACTAAACTGCTTAATGTGCTTTGCGGGGGGCTGTAGTTTGACATGCGACCATAGCATAGGACCGTCACGAGAGAACAATCGGGACCGTGAGCTTCGACTGTTGATAGGTAAAAGGTTGGAAAATCCATCCACGGCGATGATCGGCTGTGGATTTGTGGTACGAGCTGCGGTTTGCCACCTTGCAGCACGTTCCCAGCAACGCCCAGACAGTAGATAACTGACGGAATGCTCAGAGCTATCGCGCGTCCACTTAAGTTTTGATCAACAGGTTGCTGTGAGTTGAGTATCCAAGGAAAAGGGCCCTGGCGTTTTCTTGGGTGTCGCGACGATGTTCAGAATTTCCACCTTATTGACTGGAATAAAATAAACTCTGGCAGAGACAACTTTGAGCGAACTGAGCCAGCTAGGAACACCCTTAAACTCGGCACAACACACCTTGCTCGGCCCAGAAGTTATGCCTTGGGGTATAAAAGCTAGATCTGCAACACAGAGTCAGTTGAGGGCAAAACACAGCTCTGGATCTTAACCTGGCAGAGGTTATGGCAATCATGATATATGCCAAGACTTTGTTGATTCTGCAAATCTGCAGGGGAAAGAAGATGGTGATTTTGATGTGCGCCTGCAATTATGCTTGGGATGTTTGGGTGGAACCTGAGAACAACAATCCAGGCCTCTGGGAGCTTTGAAGGTCCATTGAAGTCTTAATGATTCGTGCTGGCGCAGTAGGGCAGGTAAGGAGGCTGCGAGACAAGGCACTAGCTGTTGGGGAGCCGAGATGGGATCTGGGTTTCGGCGCGGCAAGTGGAGTAACTTCGACGGTGACCTCTAGAACAACAGCGGGCCCGCTCCAGCTGGTGAGTAAAGGATTGCCTGAGTCAAGGAAGAGGGAGATAAATCATTTATGGATGAGATGAAATCAATCACTCACAGCGGGATGTTCAAACTTCGAAGTCAGGAATGTCGATGACAGTTGTGCGGCCGAGTGAATACTCAGTATATATGCCTGGGCGCAAAAATTATGTATGTAGTAGTTTCGGGACCCCCGCAGGCTACTGGGACCAAGGCTCACCATATTCTGCAAGGTATAAGACGATAATTTCCTCTCTGTTTCGGATTGGAACGCTGGATTATTTCGTTTTGCCCGTCAAGAGTCAAAGGTTTTGGCAAAACGTTGTAGAGAAAATAAGGTGTATGACAAAGCGAAGGGAACAGAATGTCCCAACTCGCCTCGCCGGCTGATCTATCCCTGTCGCTACAACTGGGAGGGACAGGGACGGCAATCCCCCCATGCAGCACCGAAATCGGCGGAGAGCTGAAACAGCATATATGCTTGTCAGAATTCCTGGTCGCGACACTACCCCTGGTATACGTGGCGGCCAGAGAGTAAAGACAAACCGACATTCTCACGCATATTGGGTGATCTCGCAACCAAGGGATATAAACATTGATGCATCGCTATGACACCAAATTTGGCGAAGCTCCAGATCGACTCTTCCGAGTACTGGACGATGACTGCTTAAACCATTGGCCACGAAGTCAGGGATGAGCAGTCGAACGCCAAGACTGGTTGCATATAGTTATCCTAGCATAGGGCGAAAAAAACAAAGCAATTCCACCCGCCCGTTCAGAGTCACCCCGTATTTCGTATTTCAATCCTCCTAGCGACCAGTTCCAAATACTGTTTTACGGAAGTTGATCCGAAATCACACACCAGCCAAGGACGGAAACAAGTTCTGGTATATATACCCGTCCAGCCGTCAATGCGACGAAATGTCCGCCACATCAAGGGGTATGGCGAGCAATATTCAAAGCGGCGACTGACGTCTGCTAGTCGTTTCGTACCTCTCAATTCTCTTTACTGATGGGTAGACGAGTTATACTTGCAACGTCTGTCGTGAATACTGGATGACCTGCAACGCGTCGTGGCCAGGATCGTCCCAGTATCACCATAGACATAAGGTCGCAGATGCTGGTGCAAGGAACCATGTATTAAAAATATTTTGACTAGTTAGTTAAGTACCTACGCAGTAGAACTGGTAATTAAGTTTTCCCAGGTGTGTGTAAAGACCAGCAAAATCCCCAAACTTCACCGAAGAGCCCTCTGAGCAACTGCGGGGAAGGGTACGTAGAAGACCCTCATTCTCTACGGACGGGGTCAAATTGCCAAAGGCTGCTGCACTCTCTTTACAGACTTTGCCATAAAATAAATGTAGCTTGCAATTACGCGGAAGTCTACCGACTCTGCGCCACCTTGACCGTACCCCGAGTCATTTTCTTCGGGCCGAAAGCACCATGCACAGCTGGGGCACATCGCCATTGGTGTTTTTCAATTTGACAATGCCTTTCGGCACTTTCGGACAGAGATCCGTTCAACCCGCAATTGATTTATCTGCGTCACACTTTTCATCCCGCCAATATGGATCGTCGTCGACGAGACCCGTCCTGTCAGCATCGCTCGCGTTTGCGCCTAGTTCTGAACGACTCCAACAGCGTTGGCAACACACCACAGTATGCATGTATGACTTTGCGCAGCTTTAGTCGCCCACGTCTAGTGATCTAACAGCCTCTCAACGTCGGATTGGGAGGCTGCAGCTTCATGCATCGTACTGTGGCAGCCAGCACCTCATCGTTTGGGCAGCAGCATTCCAGAGGTAGTTTAGTCTACGAGGATTCCGATCCAAAAAAAAAAAAAAAAAGAACAACCAAATCAGCTACATTTTGAAGATACAGTAGAATTCCCTGTGTGATGCTGTAGGCCATCGTATTTCGCTTGCCCTGGAGTTTTGTGCTTATTCCAGGGTTTTGTGCCTAACCTGGTGGTGAACCCCACTAGGCTCCAACGGGTGTAATGTGACCAAACTCTGACCCAAGTCCTTGCGTCGACTCGACTTATTCCGGATCCGAAGGCTTTTAACTGCCCCCACCTTCGCGATGTTCCATCTTTTTCAACCTCAATTTCTTCGCTCTGTAAGCATGCAATCTACCCAAAAAGAGAGCCAAGTAATCCCAGCGATTCGGGCTAAAAAACAAGACCCAAATATCACTACACAGGTCGCTGCAAGGATGCATAATATAAGCCTCACGACGTTGACGCGTCGATTAAGGAAAAGCATCGCGGCGCAATACCATGCACAATTGTCGGAAACTCACAGATCTTGAGAGTATTAAATACAAAATGTCCTTGACTTGGATTCGCGGTCATTTCCTCCCTAGCTTCGTGGTGTGGAAGATACGGCCAATCGACTGCTGGCAGCCCTCGTGTGGGAATCAACTGGGCCTCAAAGTTTAGAAATGACTACCAGAGGGCTAAATGCGAAGACCCAAACGTGATTTGTGGCTGGCTTCAGCTACAGCATCCTCGATCAAGACTTCTATAACTTAAAGACGGACTTCATGATGGGAATGATCTCATCTCCCATGGTTGCTACAAGCTCAGAATGAGGTGATAAACAAATAGGGAATGGGTTTCTGTAATCCAAGGCATCAATTCTCAGGGCTGGGTTATCCCGCCATTCGTCATAGTTGCGGGCGCAGCATCACCTCACCAATTGGTAAGAAGATAGTACTCTACCACCTAATTGGGTTATCGCCACAACTCATAATGGCTGGACCACAAATGAGAAAGTCGTAGAATGGATCCAGCGCTTTGAAAAACATACTAAAGCACGAAAACGGGGCACAAACGTCTCCTGATCATGGATGGGCATTGTTGACAATGATTGTGGAGTTGACGATGGGAGAAGACCTAACTAAATATACTAACCCAGTATACATTGTACAGTGTGGCTGCGTTCATTGAGTCACTAACATTCCAACAGGCATGAGCGTAATCTCCTTCATAGTGGCCAGCTGTCGACATCGGCCAATCACAGCCGTTACTTATATTCACTGTAAATACATTGTCGCTGGATGGCGCCATCTACCCCAAGTCCGTGGCATGCTGCGCATATTACGACGGTGCTTAGATTCGTCCACCAATGTACAATTCATCTGATTAGATGCTATGAATCTTTCCGCAAACTTTTCATTCCCCTTGGCCACCTGGTCCTCAAAAAGCTCCATAGCATCCTGCATCATCTTCCTGAATTCTGCTATTTGGGTGCATAGCATCCTGCATCGCCTTCCTGAATTCTGCTATTTGGGTGTCCATAGGGACAGTTTCTTGGTCATCAGTGTCATCTTGCTCTGAATCACTCTCTGAAGAGTCGAATTCTAGCTCTGGTTCCAAAGTTTGTGCCTTATTGCTCCCGGTTAAATTTCCAGAATCGAAGTCCATTACTGGCGCACATTC